GTCAACTGCAAGATTGCTAGTATTTGATCTGACCATGGGACAGAGTTTGAGAACTCTCAAATTGAAAGTTCTTGTGCTAGAAATGGAATCAATCATAATTTTTCTGCACCAAGAACTTCTCAACAAAATGGAGTGGTTGAGAGAAAAAACAGAACTCTGGTTGATATTGCAAGGACTATGTCGATTGATTCAGGGCTGGCTATGAACTTCTGGGCAGAAGCAGTCAACACAACATGTTTTGTTACTAATAGATCAGGTCTATGATAAAGAAGACACTGTATGATTTGTTGAACGACAGAAAGCCTTTAATTGCTCACCTTAAGCTATTTGGGTGCAAATGCTTTGTACTAAATAATGGAAAGGATGAACTGGGTAAGTTTGATGTCAGGAGTGATGAAGGTGTGTTTGTAGGATACTCTTCTACCATCAAGGCCTACAGAGTGTCTAACAAAAGAACTCTATGTGTCGAAGAGAGCATTTATGTGACATTCGATGAATCTAAGAAAAATTGATGATCAATGGGAAACCATGAGATGGAAAAGTTGATCTAGGAAAGGGAAGACAAGGATATCCAAAACCTTGGAAACAAACAGGTTGCAAAGGAAATTGTTGCAGATCTCACAGGAGCACCTGGTCCCTTTGATACTACCCAGAAGGTTCCATCTCAAAATCATGAAGATGATGATGCTGAATTTGATGCTGAAATCGAAGAAGAGTTGATCAGAAAGTCCGGATGAAAACATCAATCCTGACATCCATTGGACAATCTCATCTCTCTACTTGACTCTGGAATTCAAACTAGATCCAGGATAAGAAATCTAGTTGCATATTCAGCCTTATGTCATCCATTGAACTAAGGAACATCAATGAGGCTCTACAGGATGCAGATTGGGTAACATCAATACAAGAAGAACTCTATCAATTTGAAAGGAGCAAAGTGTGGCACCTGGTCCCCCGACCTATCAACAGAACAGTTATTGGAACAAGATGGGTCTTCAGAAACAAACTTGATGAGCATTAAACTATTACTAGAAATAAGTCGAGGCTTGTGGTGCAGGGGTACAACCAAGAGATTTACTTTGCAAGGAATCTGTTGATCTTATGAGCAGTGAGTTTGAAATAAGAATGATGGGAGAACTCACTTTCTTCCTAGGCCTGCAAATCAAATAGTCCATTCAGGGTACCTCTATATGTCAAAAGAAATACATCAAGAAACTGCTTCGAAAGTTCAATATGATTGAGGCAAAAGTTCTTGACACTCCCATGAGCACAAGTGTGAAGCTTGACTTGGATGAATAAGGAGTTGAGGTAAATCAGACTATGTATAGGGGAATCATTGGGTCACTCTTGCATCTCACTACAAGCAGACCAAACATAGTCTTCAGTGTACGGATGTGTGCAAGGTTTCAAGCTGCACCAAAGGAGTCACATCTAAAAGCTACTAAACGAATACTGAGATACCTGAAGGGAACTCAAGACTTGGTCATCTCGCTACCCAACAGGTGACTCACTTGATCTAATTGGTTTTGCAGATGCAGACTATGTAGTCTTTCTTGTAGATCGAAAGAGTACATCAGGCATGACACATTTTCTTGGATCATCACTGATTTCCTAAGGGACAATATTGAGAAAAAAAATGTGGTGATGAAATTCTACAAGACTGTTACAAAGCCCTTGAGTAAATAATGCTTCATCAAAAATAGGATGATGTTGGGGATGCACAAGATTACCTAATTCCTTGACAAATTGGCACAAAAATCTTCTAGTTTGATTATGTTACGGAGGGCAGGTATCTATACTTGTTTAACGTTTGTCACTTAAGAATTCGCTTCTGGTGCCTTAATGCAGGTATACACTCATGGTGTGTCAAGCTGAAGGGACAATTTAATCACACTAGGCCAGGTTGCAGATTGAAACGAGGACCTGGTCCTCATAAGGTTAGTTTCACTTATACTACACTGTCTAACTGTCAACATCACTGCCACGTGTCTGTTGCCCATTCATCGTGTCAGTTTCAGATGTCTTTTCGCTTTTAAACCAAAGGTTGC